GCACCATGCCCCTGGGGTTTTTTTTTTTCCCCCCCCCCCTCTTATGAGTCAGCTCCTTTAGGCACGGAGCCAGCACCATCCACGGGGAGAAAAAGGAGTCGGGCACTTGAGCTCTGCATTTGTTTGTTAGCACAAAAGTCTCTTTTTTGGATGAAAAGCAGGGAAGTGTTCGCTCGCTGCCGGCCCGGTGGGATCATCACCCTGCAGAAACCTCCCTCTGAAAACTTTTGCTGGCCGTGTGTTTTAAAAAATCAGAAGGAAAAGAAGAAAAAATGAAAACCCAGGAGAGGATTTGGGGGAATTCTAGTGCAGCAGCATCTTAGTCATCCTGTTCACGTGACCCTGAGAGGGAAAGCTGTGGCAGAAGAGGGGCAGCAGAAGGTGATTTTCACAGGGAGGGTGGGATGAAAGGCAGGCAAATAGGTTGAAAAATCAGATTTTTTTTGATGGGCACTCAGGCACAGCATGGCTGGATCCTCTCTGCTCACCTGAGGAATTCCTGGTGTGAGGGGAGGGAAGAGATGAGGAGAGAGCTTGTTCCCAGACAGCTCTGCTGTGAGAAGCAGAGTGCGTAGCAAGGTACCCACGGGTTTTGCATAGCAGTTCTGAAACATCAAGAGTTTAGTTCAGAGGTGGATCAGGCCTTGTTTGGAAAAGGCTTCATTTCCTCTTTCCATTTTGGGATTATTCATTGCCAATTCTTCTGGCTCTCTGGCTGGTCTCATTTTAAATACAGCCCCACCGCTTGCTCCGAGAGGTTGCTCAAGGCTGGCACTTGGTGCAAGGGAATCCTCCCTCCTGTGATGTGCAGAGTTTTATCTCCTTCCTTTCATCCTCTGTATCGTGGTCTCCTTTCAGTGTCCCACCCACAGTACTGTCCATGTGTCTGTGTACTTGCAGGTGTGCTGGGGAGACTGAGCACCACCATATGAAGCAAAGGTTTCTCTGCACCACCCCAAGCTTCTCTGCTCTGTAGGATGGCTCAGAGCCACAATTCATTGATTTAAGCTAGAAAAAATACCCCAGCTTTCATCCTCTCTGTTCTGCCCCATTGTAGTGGTCACTTCAGAGCTGCTGGCACAGGTTTCTGTGACCTGCACCTGTGGCTGAGTGCAGCATTTCTTATTTTGCCCTTCATTTCATACATTCCCACTTAAAGTGGTTCATTTTTTTGGTGCTGATGAACATCATATCATTTTTCTCTATGGTTGTAAGATGCTCAAAGCCAAGCTGCCTTATGAGCCTGGCTTTTGTATTCAAAGGATGCCAGTGTTGTCAGGCCAAAAGATGTTGTTATAGTCACAATGGGGAAATAACTTCTAAGCACAGCTTTGTTCCTGTTCTCCTTGTATCTTGGCAGGCTAAACAGTGAGGTCGAGCCTTTTCAGCCTTACATGTAAGATCTAATCAAGGCAAACCCTTCTAAAGGAGGAGAAGGCAACACAAATACTTCCTCCCTCCTCCTCAATTACAGCTAGGAAACTTTTTAAGCAGAAGAAGCCTTGGTGAAGGGAACGTTTAACTTTAAAAGAAAGGTTGTGGATGTGACTTGGCATCTGCTGCAGTTCAACCCAAGCTGGGTGATAAATGTTTCTCCAGGCAGAATGACATCCATGTTGCAAAGTGAGAGATGAAGATCGTGTCTATCCTTTGTGCTGCTCAGCTTTATCTTCTCTCTTATCTTGGGCTGTAGCTCTAGTAATCTTTTTTTCCCTCTCCACCCTTGATTTGATGCAGTGAAACTTGCTTAACCTGCCAAAGGCACAGACCTGCTGGCTGTAATGTGGACAGGTAGCGACTCTCCTTGAGAACTCTGCAACCTGCTGCTTTGGTTTTGGGATTTTTTGGGGGTATTTTTCCTAAATGTTGGCATGCAGAAAGCTGTGACAGCGCCGGTGATCCCTGACCTGCATGAAGTCAAAGGTGCAGTCGGGGTGTCTTCCTGTTTGTGGCTCAATAGCTGCTTCCTTTCAAGTATGCAAAGCTCAAGCACGAAGGGGTTGCCACATTCCTCTCTGCTGGTGCAGGCTCTGCTCTGGCTCTTAGGGCAGGGCAAGAGCTGAGAACTGCAAGCTGGGGGCAGCCAGTGGCTTTGGCACCAGTCCCTGTGGTGCTGCTGCCACGTTACCAAGTCCTGCCCTGTTGGCAGAGAGAATCATAGAGTCACCGACTGGTTTGGGTGGGAAGGAGCCTTTCAAGGTCACCCAGTCCAACCCCTGCAGGGAGCAGGTACAGGGAGCAGGGACAGCTGCAGCTAGAGCAGGGGGCTCAGAGCTTGGTCCAACCTCCCCTGGGATGGTTCCAGGGATGGGGCAGCAACCTGGGCCAGGGGCTCACCACCCTCAGTGTCAAACATTTCTTCCTCAGATCTAATCGAAATCTCCCTCTTTTTAGTTTCAAACCATCCCCCCTTGTCCTGTCCCAACAGGCCCTGCTAAAAAGATTGTCCCCAGCTCTCTGATAGACATCCTTTAAGTCCTGAAAGGCCACAATAGGGTCTCCCAGGTGCCTTCTCTCCTCCGGGCTGAACAAGCCCAACTTGTGGTGGTCTAGTTCAGTAAAAGCTTGCAGCTCAGCATCCACATCTCAGTGCAAAACAAACTCCTGGAACCATCCCAGGTGAGGCTGGACCAAGCTCTGAGCCCCCTGCTCTAGCTGCAGATGTCCCTGCTCCCTGCAGGGGGGTGGGACTGGGTGACCTTGAAATGTCCCTTCCCCCCCAAACCAGTCTGTGATTCTACGAGACCGGGAGGCTGGGTGGACAGGTTACTGGGCAGCCTCTGGGAGGATGGAGGTCAGGCACGTTGCTGATGGGAACTGGGTGGTAGCAGGGCACGTGCCCTGCTGTGGGCTGGGCCATGGGACAGAGCTGCCAGGCTCCCTGCCAGGCTCCCCACACGGTGCCTGGCACAGCGAGGGGCCCGCGCTGGATCGTGCCCCAGCTGTTCCCACGGCGCTTCACCCGCTTTACGAGACGTCCGCCGCTCTCCTTTAAAGGCAAACCTTCAGGAGTGGTGTTGGCAGGAGAATTTAGGCAGCCTTTCCACCCCCATTTGCCTGCTGACAGTTGTCTTCTTCCCCCTTCCTGCCCAGGCACATGAAGATCCACGAGAAGGACCCCAACAGCACGGCGAGCACCACGCCCCCGTCGCCGCTGAAGCGCCGGCGCTTGTCTTCCAAAAGGAAGTTCAGCCACGATGCTGACATGGACAGAGAGGAGAGGACACCTGCCAAAAAGGTTCTTGATGGGGCACGAAGCAAAAGACATCCCTGGCTACCCCCTAAACTGTCAGCTCTTGAGTTGAAGAGGGTAGAAACTCAGTGTAGAAACAGAAAAACGTGGTCCTGGGACAACCCTCTCTGTATTTTAAGTGCTTTCCCTCTGCAGCCAACACTGCTGAGAGATTAAACACTGAGACTGAAAAGGAATTGCTAGTTTCAGAGATTAAAATCATTCAATTTTTTTAATTCTTTATATTTTTGGGGTTTGCCTGTGACTGACTTTAGATAATTGATGTTGGATGACAAGAGGATGAACTGTTCTTTCACTGCTGCTGCTTTTCCCCTAGTTTTGGGTTTGGTTTGTTTTTTTCCTCCCATTTAATTCATACTAGTTTTGCAGGATAGTGACTAAAAAAAACAGTGTTCACTTCAAAAGCAGCAACAGCTCAAGCCTTTTTCTCTTGATCAGGAGGAAAAAAAACCTAAAATCTGTCCATTTCCCTTTCACAGTAGCACAATCCTGCATTACTGGAGTTGCAAGAGCAACCAGAAAATATTTACTTGAAGGCTAGACATTTCCATCAGGGTTTTATTTATGAAATATTTCAGTGCATTTCAATCCTTTAAACAAAATGTATGCTGGCTGCCAAACTCAGCTTGACCCTTTCCACTCACTATCTGTAAATGGCAAGCTGGTAGCAGCTCCAGGCAGCTCAGCATCCCCTTGTTCTGGGCACACTTTTCTCCCTGGGATCAGGAGAGGGCTGTAGGAAACATGCAGAAGTTCCCTGCATTTCCCTGGACCACTTGAGTTAGCAGTTGGCAGCATCTGGGTGGCATCAGTAGTTTTGGCTGACAGGAGGAATGCTTGGTGGGAGATAAACACGTGGGTTTATAGGTTGTTCAGATCACAGTTTCTCATTAGAGCTGTTGTCTCTGTGACTTTACCCCACACTTCAGCTCCTCCTGAGCCTCCTTTTGTGTCAGGCACGTTCTGGAAGCTCTGTCCCTTTGCCCTCTGTTGCCAAAATGAGGCATTTCTGTCAGCCTGCAGCAAGGTTAGGGATGAAGCCACTGCTCCATTTTTTAAGAGGCCTTTGAGTGGATTCTGTGTTTGATTTGTTGCTTAAAATTGGCTCTGCTGAGGTTTCTTTTCCCCCCCCTCTCTCTGAAGGTTGTCGAGGATGGTCACTCCGGTGAAGGGGATAAGAGGGCTGAGGAAGAAGTTTATCACTGTCCAGTGTGTTTCAAAGAGTTTTTTTGCAAGTATGGGCTGGAGTCCCACATGGAGACACATCCAGACAATTCCCTGAGGTAAGAAATAGTCCCTGAGAGTTTCTCCTCCCCAGGTGGCCTGAGGGAGCCTGCTGGGGAAAGACAGGAGCCACTCAGCCCCCTGCGCTCTTAACTACTTCCCTTTGTGCTTTGGAACAGCTTTGTAAATGTTTCTGCCTCATTTTATGTCACCAGGGTGCTGGTAGGGGCTTCATTTTGGTATTTTTTTTTTTGCAAATACAGGAAATCTTGCTGGGAATCTTTTTAGCAGAAATGAAAGCACCTCTTCCTCCCCTCCAAACCCATCACTCTTGTTGCATACAACTGTAAAATCCCAACACGGCCAAATTTTAACACATTAAACTAAAAACACATAAAGCATGAAGCAGAACTTGATAAAAATATTCAGGTACCAGCCTATGAGGTGATTCTGCTTGGGGAGGAGAAGGCAGCTGGATATAAAGGTTTTGGGAGGGTGTGAAGAGAGGTGAGTTTCTGGTTCCAGGCTGTCAATAAAACAAGTTACACTTTTCTGCCTGTTGAGATTAGGGAATGATTTGCATTTTGGCTTAAATCAGCTTCTCTTAACAAAGAAAAATTAGTTATTAATTGTTTGGGAAGGTGCTTGAGTGTTTTGGTTCATGTAATTGCCCCTGGGACTCCTGATGCTTTTTTATTTCCTGTTTTTTTACCAAAGAAAAATGTGGAGCCGGATACATGAAGATAGAAAAGAGAGATTCCAAGTCTAGTTTAAAGGTGTAGAAAAGCTGCTGTTTGTCCATTTGCAGAAGCTTCTCAGTGTTTTAAGCTTATTTAGGGACATTGGACTCTACTGATCTTTTTGGAAGGGTGTAGAATTCATCATCCTCAAGTGTCAACACTCCCCTGAATATAGTTTCTTCACTGAATGGCATGGAGCAGAGCCATCCCATACTGTTAAATGGCACTAATTCTATTAAATGTTCCATTTTTTTTATAGGAGAAAACCATAGTTCATATGTCAGCCCATTTTTAAAGCCCTTTGTAAGTGCTGGAGTTATTGGGGAAGGAGTTGGAAAGAAAACTCTGTCTTAAATATTGATCCAGCAAATAGTAGTTAATTAAATGGAGTTTACTTTTTCTGAAGTAAGTGAAGTAAATCTTCATTCTAGGGCAAAACTGAAGCAGTTGTTCTCTGGGAAGAGCTCTGCAACCCCCACAAAAGGGAGTCTGAGATGGTTTTGTTGTACACTTTGTGCTTTAGAGGAGGTGATTGCCCTGTTAGGTTTATCCTGGCATGAGCCTCATTTTGCAGCTTCCATGAAAACGTGGCCTCTCTGCACAGTTCTGTGCCATGGACCTGAGTGGAGAGGTGGGTTCTCTTGCCTTGACTGATGGATAAAAGCCAACAGAGTGGATGCCCTTCTAGCTTGGCAGCTTTGCAGTCTGCTGTGGGAAGGCAGAAGGACACCCTGGCTGTTCCAGACATGCTGTTCCAATTCCTGCTACTCTTTCTCTAGGGTTAGGAGACTCACTTTTGGATAATATTCTCCTGAAGTGGATTGTGCTTCCCCTTGACTGTGTTGAGCAACAAGGACTAAAATGTGTCCCTAAATGAAAGCCAGGACTGTCAGGCTCTGTGGGCATGAGCTGAGGGTGGTGCTGGGGTGCTGCTCTTGATGGGCTTGTCTAGACGATGGTGAGAGGGGATTTGTCAGATATTTGCTTTAGCAATTTAAGACATGTCAGTGGAGATAGGACAGCACAAGGAAGCTGTGGTTCTCCCCAGCCAGCTAACACATTCAAATGCAACTTGTCCTGCCTATCTGGTTTAAAACACATCTTTTGTCCCAGTCTAGACAAGTCAAATGACACTGTCTGCTTGGCCCAGGCTGACAGAAGATCCTCTGGTAAGCAGAGCACTCTGGGCTGCTGCTGAGGGGACTCTTTCAGCCCAAAGGCAATGGGTTAAAACCCTTGGCAAGCAGGGGCTGTAATCCCTGGGTTCCTGCAGGGCTGTTGGTAGGATTCAGCAAGATGGACTGAATGTGACATGGCATTCCCATCCTGAGCTTGTGTGACTGAAATGGTTCCTTGTGGTGAGGCTTAGGGCTGTTTTTTTGGGGTGCAAGAGATGAAGTGAGTATTCTGCTGCAGTGTTAGAGCAGGGGGCACGTGTATGGGTGCTCCTGATGGCAGGGGAGCAAACTGCAGAAGGTTAGAAGGTGTGCATCAAATCCTGGGGTTTTCTTGTAGAAGACAAGGAGGAAAAACTCCTTAAAGTTCAGACAGACAAAGCAGTGTGGCAGCTGTGTTAGGAGTGAAGGGAAGGGAGCAGAACCCCCTCAGCTGCTTTTTATAGCCAGTATTGCCAAAGCAGAGCCCCTTGATCCAGACTTCTGCCATTCAGGTATCTGTTGTTGTGCATCCCAGACCCAGATGGGTCTGGCAGTTGGTTTGGAGCTACTGCTCTAGGTAGCCCAGCACAGACTGTTTTGTCATGACCCAAAATAAATGATGCTCCATCTGCCGAGCTGGGCCTGTCTTTGGAAACCACAGGGCAAACGTCTGACTCCTTTTTGCTCCTGCAGCAGTTAGTATAACAGCGTGGGCACAGGGCAGGGAGGGGACCCTGCCCCTCTGCCAGCTCTGTGAGACCCCCCTGCAGTGCTGGGGCAGCTCTGGAGTCCTCAGCACAGCAGAGCCAGG